GCCTCTTTTCAAGATTCTTGCTTGCTGCTGAACTTAAAAGATCACACGTCGGCTTACGAGGGACAAAAAGAGGGATCAGCTTCTATTCATTTAAAAAAAGGTACTTTTTGTCGCTGCCACGAAGCGGAAACGAGACTAAGGGTGTTGTTTTTGCATTTAAGTTCGTTTTACTGAAAGTATAAGTGCTAGACCAGCCAAACTTGACAAGTGGATTGATGGTCAAAGCTAGGCACAGGCGAGACAAATCAATCCGAATGGCTTGCATTGAAAATCTAACCCAAACGTGCCTCGATCCTCGGTAGATTTTTTTCTGTACTGTTTGACATCTATATCGACCCAGTTCTAACATTTCCTACATGGTGAATGAATTTTTCTGTTAAAGACACCCTGTTAGATTGGTGAATTAGGTTTGAATGTATACATACCACTTTTCAACATCAGCAACTCTTTTGCATTTGGGTACTATATAACTTGAGTTCATATGAATTAGATCTATATCAGTAGCCTTTATGCCTTCATATCGCTGATACATCTATTGTAAGAGAAACATGGACATATTGATAAATTTAATTACATGATAAGTGTACGAGTGTACATGAAGAGAATATAAATGATTTCTTGAAGGCTGTGGCTCTTGAGAGCTCTTATATATTTGTACTTGTACATGTACAATGGTTGTTTGATAGCATTCCAGTAATGTTAAAAAGTATATATTTAAGTTTGAATGATCAAAAATTGATTTTCTAACTCCTGAAGCCCACATTATTTCTATATATTTATATAAAATCCACCTGAAGAAGCCCTAGAAGGCAGGAAGGCCTAGTGGATGATCTGAAAAATATAAGTTTTTATTCTATATTATACAATTGTTTCATGGTTATTTGGGGAACAGTCAAAACTATCATACCGAGGTAGGGGGAAGCCCTGGGGAACTGTTTGCCCGAGGCCGCTAAACTTCCCCAAATAACCATGAAACAATTGTTTTATTACCAAATAAATATTAGTATCAATGCTGCATGCAATGTTGCCATTGCTTCAACACTGAGTCGCGGTCACCAAATCGCTTGAACGGGGCTCTCGAGAGGGGAATTTCTGCGCAGTTTTGACTCACTCCTACAGCCGAAATTGGACAATAGGCCATAAACAGTCAAAAATGACTAATTATAATTTATATAGACCATATTCGGTAATAAATATAGATATTTATTCATAAAAAATTCAACAGTTTGGAAATTTATGTCAATTATAATCTTTTTTTTTTATAAAAACGGAACAACATTTATAATTAACACCTAGATACAAAAAAATGTTGGATTTTTTTTTATAATAAGTTACATCAGACACTAAAAAGAACTGGTTCAAAAATGCCTCAGAAATATCAGCCCTGATCCCCCATCCCATCCCACCACCAACACCACCAAGAAAATGCAATGCTTACCAACCACAGAAATTCAATTCAATTCAAACATGGTATGTCTGTTACATATACTAAAAGAAATTATTTTGATTTTAAAACCCCTGAATTAAGAAGGGGAAAAAAAATGATAAGCTAATGAGCATTAGAAAAAATGAACTACACATGCAATTATTAGCCTAATTAAGAAGGCCTCCTATCAGTGGTGTGGTGTTTTTCAGTTGCAGGTGTATGCGACTATATAGGTCTTGGGTGATGAGGTTTATGTACAGTACCTATAGAGTATTGTAATAAAAGAGTTTTTTGATGGGGAGGGGGTAGGGAGACCAATCTTATCTGACCCATATCATGACCAGATAAGATAGCACCCACAAAAAGCTACATTTTAAATGCTTTTGGGATCCCTCCCCCTCTGGAATCTGGTCCAACTCAGTGCCCACTTCCTGTAGAGCGAGGGGTAGTTGTCAATCCATGGCAGGACATCCTAATTTTAACTGCTCGTTTTTACTTTGACTAACCATTCGGTGCAATTCCAAGTTTTCTGTATATATATATATTTGTATACGACATGAAGTAATTCCGATTCGACTCTCAGATTAAGCCTCTGAACCGATGGAGTTCTATTTTTGATACTTTTCAAGCTTGCCTATATCCTGCTGGGTTTTCTTTCGAATGTGAGACGGTAAGAGATTTGGGGAATATACTTATCGGAGAACACACCTATATAGTGGATATATAGCTAGTCGGGTCATTTTTCGCCTGCTTTTACTTCTAAAAGGATGCTCCAACTAGACTTCTAACATCCAGATTCTACATAGTCACATTTCGGACAGAAGTTAAATCCCGAATTTCCAGATTGTCGGATGTAATTCAGTTAACATAACATTAATACAACTCTGATTCAAAACTCGATGCGGTGAAATTTTATCGTATTTTTGGAATCGCTTCTGCTCCAAGGTTTTTGGTGTGGAAATTTTGTTTGTCGTGGATTTGCTTTGTGACGTTCAAATCCTTGATATGTGTGTTGATGCATCATGCATTTCACTTAAAGAATAACAATTTTTTTATTATGAAATTCACATGTTTTCTATGATTGCAAGCATGGCATAAATTTAATACCTCTAGGCAATAATGAGTAATGGTGTAAATTGTTACAGAGGAGACAATATCGACGATTTGAGGTACGCCTGGAGATATATATGACATAGCCACAGACCGTGACTCGGAGATAATTGCTTTCCTATGTATCAACTGATGTAGTGGTGAAATTTTTCCCCGTACAAAAAAGGATTTAAACCGTCTGGAACTGGATCCCCATGTGGAGTCGATTATGCATTATTCGGGGGATGGGTATACATTTTTTATGTGCCATATGTCTGGGGGACTAATGTGTTTTTAACATCAGCTGGTTGGTTCCTCTCCGTTCGTAGACATAGACGTTTCACCCACCTTTAAATTCAACGGCATTTAGAGAGCAACTCGACCAATGTTTTGACACGGAATATAAAAAAATAATTCTCAAGGCCTCGTCAACTGTGAGGGTGCGCCATGAGGAACTGTATTTATGGTGAGGTGTGCCAGTGTGGGGGCACTTTGTAGCGTCGGGATTGTCATATTGTGTTTCCTCTCCCCAATTTGTCGGCTATCATCACATATTAATCAAGTTTACAGTGACAGCTTGCGTCCCTGGAGTGTTTTCTGATACTCTTTCATCGCCCACTGCTATACAGAAACAGATTAACGGTATTTCGCTATATTCTATATGGGATGAGTTGTGGTGCTATTTTGTGGAGGAAGTTGGGAATTATGAGATGTCTGTGTCCAGGAGACTGCTGATAAAAGACAACGCTCCATAATAGAAAACGTCGTTGAATTTTGAAGTAAAGTGGAAAAAAGCAGATATTTGACTAGTTTCATACACCAACAAGAAGAAAACTATTTTTGCTGGATTGTTAAGTTGCAGTATTTGAAAACAAGGACAAAATTGATTTTCATTAATTGTGAACATAGCAGACCCATGTGAAAATATAAAACTTCAATGAACCGAAATCAATGTAAACTATATATTGATCTGGTTCATTAGCAAAAGGAACTGTTGGTTTTAATTCACTGTTGACTGAACATTGGGAAAATATCAAAACTCTAAAAGATCATCATCATGTTCATCTTAAGCTGAAATTGTAGAAACCAATTTGTGGAAATTATACTGCTTAAAGTTAAAAAAAATAATTTTCAAGGTAAGAACACGAGTGATTGTTGAAATTTCCTTTGCATTTTGAAGAGAATTCTATTGACTGTTGAAAAGAATCATCCTTCAGTGATTTTTTATCATAAGCCAGTGCAACCTATGTTGAATAAGTGTGAGATACTGCAATCTCTTTCCTGTGGTTTAGCGGGAATTAAAGATTTGTATTTTTGACTTTTTCGATCTGGAAGTGTAACACACAGGTTGTGTAAACTCACAGAATGTTGAATGCATTTGGTAAAGTTAGTTTGTGAAAAAAAGCCATAACATCTAAACTTTTTACTTATCACAGACAAAAACGTTTGCTAACAAGCTTTAAGAGGGAACCGCTCTGTGTATTTTAGATCTGCTCACGGCCATATTGTAGATGGTGTATGTTTTACGCTGTAAAATCAAGCTCGCCTTGTTAAGATTGGAACGATTCCGGTTTTGTAGTTCGGTGCATCACCTCCTCAAGTTTGAGTCTCAACGGCTTATCAGACATAAGCAGATTTAAATTATCGTAGTTTCTTAAACACTACACGGCTGCTAGGCATTCTGAGGGGGATCTCAGAAGCCACCAAGGACCAAGTACAGTCTCACAGGGAATGTAGGAAGTTAAGTTAAATATTGAAAACACATTTCTTCTAATTCTTTTTAAATTGGATAGAAATGATATTTCCAAACTTTGAATTGTTTTGATAAATGCTAGTAAAAAAATCATAATCTTGGTAATTCTGAGGAATTTTCTGCAAGCAAGCTGAATTACTTTTATGAATATTGCAGATAAAAATTAGTGTGCTTTTTGCAATGCGTGTGCAGAGCCCTGAACATGTGCGTTATCTAACAAATTATATCCAGAGATAACGGCACATTCGGCCGATGCATTTCTCAGTCCACTGTGAAATTGCTTTTTCAGGTGTCTACACAGAGGAAGGCAGACATTTTTTCTATTAAACAGCTTTGAGCATATTCTTGAATCACACACATTTTTGGTTTTCCAAAAAGAAATCAAAATCTAGAATTTAAAAAAATCTTGGGTTCTTACATATGCATATGAGATTTCCATCTGCTTGTACTGAGCTTTTGCTGCATAGTACTGTATATGAAAGCTAAAAAGGTTCTCCCTAACCGTTTGTAACCAACTGTGCTGACTTTGAGAATCTGTGATAAGGAGGGAAGTCATTATCGGATTCGTAAACATTTATGTGATACCTACAACTGTAGGTGCTGTAGGTATACAGTTATAAACATTTATTTATCTAGCCAGGCCAGTTATGACATACATCTGAGTCCTGACTGGCCCCAGGACTCGGTGGAAGTAACATCTGCAGCAGGGGAGAACTGCAGTCTGGAGACCCCGTGGGCAGATTTTTACACACTGAATCCATATATCATCTCCATCATACAGTGTTACTCTCCGAACAAATGGTCATAATAAATATCTCCCCCACAGCAGTAGTCGCCACAAAGAAAAAACGGACAGTGATATATGTCGAAGTCCCTTCAAAGGTGGGTGTGAGTGTCTTGTTGTAGCCCACTTACAGGCTAATCTCCTGAAGGAAACCTGCATTCGTAAATTTTCAGTCCAACAAAATAACGGTTATTTTGCGGTGTACTGTATTTCATTAAGAACTCATTGTTGTTGGATCTGTATCTTCGTAAGTACGACTGGTAATGCACCGAAAATAGACGAGAGGTGCTATACATGCTACACTAACGCGTGTGACCGAAGTCATCACCAACACATGTTTCTGTGATCTATTTGTGTTACTGGTATATACGTATATACATACTGTGGCTTGTTGGAAGTCAGTGGTGCAATGTTTGTTTAGAGACATACTACCAGGAGAAAACCCCAAAACGGCAGTCCTGCAAAATTTTACGTTGAAAAGCTCCAGATACACTTTTCAACAAAAGACGAATTCTCAGTACAAAAATTTGTTGGGACAAGTTTACTTCAACCAGGAGGAAAACTGAAAAGTACTTTGGTATTCGTGGGAGACTATTTATCTGCAACAGGAGGAAAACAAGGGGTAGCTGTTACATTGTGTATGATAACACTGCATTGGATTAACTACAGATGGTGTGGGTCTGTGTAGCCACTGATCATGTTTACTCGGATTAACTACAGATGGTAAACTGACCAGTCTGTATATATATACTGTATATATATACAAATACATTGACTGGAGTCACTGGTCACTTTCGCTTTGCTTTCGTTAGGGGAAATATGTCAGAAGTAATAAGTATTTCTGAGATGTTTTTCTAAGATCGTTGATTAAAGGTGTCTGCTGCGGTGGTGTGGGGAGAGAAGTGTTTCCTGGTAGTATTCCACCACTTCTACTACTACTACTACTACTACACTACAACAGAGAACTGGTGAGATACAAACCATGTGTATCTGGAATCAAGTGGCTCATTATCTCAATTAGAGACCTTCCCTCACCCCAAGTTACATTCCTCCTGTCTCCCAAATCTGGGCTTGCCACAGATATCTAAATTCTTCGGAAAAATCTGCAGATGTAATTTCAATGAAAACTGGGGTGTTGCCTAGGGAACCTATGACAATCCATTGCAGAAAAGTTGAGGTTTATTCGTTGGGTATCACAATTACGGGATATTCCATTTCAGAGTTTTTGCAGTTAACAGCAGTTACCGTTTAGTGGTGTGATTTCAGAGGTAATAGTGTGCATGCGGAATGCCATTCATGAATACGTCGGATTATAAAAGCTTTGCTCTCGAGTCTCCTTTCCTATCAAACTGCTGTTAGGATGTGTTCTGTTATGGAATCTTAAGGATGCAGTACATTTCACCGAAATCATTTAATAGCATGTGATTCTGTGTAATAGCAGTGTTTTGTGTACATGTTCTGTGCGGAGAAACCTTTTATCCTTAGGTTACACGAGGATCTGTGCCAGGAGAATTAATTTGAATTTGTTTCCTAGTCTGATAAAATCTGATTGGTAGATTAGCTTTTATGGAACGATGTCTTCAAATATATGCATTGGGATTTAATCTTGCTGGGGAAAAAAAATATTTTTGAACCGTTGTGTGTTGAATATATTTTGTTTCAATCATTGTGCTTGGAATTTTCTGTTCTGTAGACCAATTTGATTTCAACCTGTGTGATTCATATATTCTGTGGAATTGTTAAAATGAAGACGTCTTGGTTATCTACGTTTTCTTCCAACGATACAAGAAAACGTGCTCCAACTCCAGAGTTTCCGGTCAATATGTCTGACCTTCCGCCTGACTCGGGCACTCGTACCACGCCCCGAACTCCCAGAGCTCACCATGGCCAGGATGTGATACGAAGTGTTCGGGGTCGGAGCAGTACGCCAGACAGAGCTCGGCCTCAGAGCCCTATTGTCATCAAGTACCCAGTTCCCGTCACCATAAACATGCAAACCATTCCACCGTCCCCAAGGTCGGGACGGAAGGTCAAGGCCATTCCAGATAGCCCTCGTGTGCTGCGGAACCGTCCACCAAGTCCGGACGATTCTTTGCTCAATGACTTGTCCTGGCTGCAACACCACAACGTTTGGTGCGAAAGGCAAGCATCCCTGTTAGTTTATCGTTTATGTATACTCTGCATGCTGTTATGTGTGTGTTACTATTTGTTACTAAAGGGATATTATTCATATGTTACTTTGTACTTGTTACTCTGCTCATGCTGACACCTATGCTACTTTTAATATCGATATAGACATACTGTATTTGTATGTTACTTAACATGTATGTTATCCGCATACCAGTACATACATGTATGTAATTACCAGTACTTAAGTGACAGTACCCAAATCAGATCATCAGATCATCAAATCATCATCTTATTCATTAATTGAATATTCTGAATATGAATTATATTCATTTATGGTTGCACCTAAGAAAAAATATCCATGGCTGTTCTAACAAAAAAAAATAGCACCAGGGGCTCACGTGAGATATTTATAGAACGCTTTGACATACCTATCAGCGGTTCCGGGTTTTGGCGAATGTCAGGACCCAAATCAGATCAAGACTTGAATTTTGCAGTATCTTACACTTCAAATGAATATTTTTTTTGTCAGCATATTAACATTTTATGATGACCTTTGGAATTAATATGAAAACAAGTATTTCTATAGGGTGAATTTATTCCTATAGTCCAAAACAGAATGTAGGTCGTCGCACGAGCCATTTTCTAAAAACGTAAACTTTTGAGTTTGAACTAGTTTTCTGGTGCTATTTGAACTTAAAAACTTATCATCTGTAGACATAAAATAGTGCATGGCTATCTATTCTAAGGATACATCATTGTTATAACTGATCTGTTGACACATTTATTGAAAAAAGTGATCCGATTTGGGTACTGATCCGAATCGGGTCCTGCCTCCTTTTACTGTAAACCAGATGGTACCTGAATATACTGCATTTTGTTTATGTTACCCTGAGGCTGTATGCTGACTGTTCTAAATTGTATGCTTGGGGGGAACAATGTAACATACCATATCAATGTTACCCTGTCTTAAATTGTACATGTGTGCTTGGGAGGAACAATGTAACATACTAGTATTCATGTCACTTCTGAAGTTGACATCCATGTCCTAACTGTAGGTTTCATACATTAGTTGATCATTATCTGTCCTTTATGCATTTAATTTTGTGAACTGCATGTTTCCTGCATTGCTTCATTACTTTCTGTTTGAAATGATACATTTCTTGGTGAACTGTGTGTTTCATACATTTCTTGGTGAACTGTATGTTTCATACATTTCTTGGTGAACTGTGTGTTTCATACATTTCTTGGTGAACTGTATGTTTCATACATTTCTTGGTGAACTGTATGCTTCATACATTTCTTCTTGAACTGTATGTTTGAAGAAGAAATGAACTGTATGTTTCATACATTTCTTTGTGAACTGTGTGTTTCATACATTTCTTGGTGAACTGTAAGTTTCATACATTTCTTGGTGAACTGTATGCTTCATACATTTCTTCGTGAACTGTATGTTTGAAGAAGAAATGAACAGTATGTTTCATACATTTCTTGGTGAACTGTAAGTTTCATACATTTCTTGGTGAACTGTAAGTTTCATACATTTCTTTGTGAACTATAAGTTTCATACATTTCTTCGTAAACTGTATGTTTCATATATTTCTTCGTAAACTGTATGTTTCATACATTTCTTGGTGAACTGCATGTTTGAAGAAGAAATGAACTGTATGTTTCATACATTTCTTTGTGAACTGTGTGTTTCATACATTTCTTTCTGAACTGTTTTTCCTACATCACTTTGCCTGCTACCATATGTACATGTGATGCCTGCTCCCAGTTACCAGTACACAGTCCCAGAGTCTGTAGGATACCTGTGTCAGGGTTTTTTGTGCTCATCTGGCTTCCTCTTTGTACCATGACATTCCCTGTTTCTTGTCGCCAGTAATTTATTCACGGTGTGTGTTTTTGTACTGAACCGACTTCCTTGTTGTTCTGTGACGTGTCTGCGGCTGTCTGTCTATAAGGTACATGCATTAAGATTCAGGTTCTCGATATAAACAATTATTGTTGCTACGAGACATCTTGAATGTTATTGCTTCTGTGACATTACCGGGACATGATCCGGAGAAATTTTATGTAATAAAAATTGTGTACGTCATGCACAGCAGATGATTATGCTCAGAATGGAACAAGGTAGATTTTAAATGTCATTTCATGGTATTTGGGGCCCAATGGCTGAGTAATTGAAGTGTCTGACTGCCTACAATCACTAGCCCTCCACCACTGGGTCACAGTTTCGAGGCCTACCCCTGTCAGTATGTGGGGCAGTTGCCAGGTACTGTCCACAGGTTGGTGGTTTAACCCCGGGTATTCTGGCTTTCCACCAACACCAAAACCTGACACGTCCTTAAATGGCCATAGCTGTTACTAGGATGTAAAACACAAACCAAACCATGTTGTTTTGGACCATAGTATTGAAACTTACTTTGCAATGCTTGCACTGTATACAGAAACGTAAATGTTTTTCCAGATGTATGATGTTCTACTCTGCGTAGAATCTGTAGTGTCTGACCTAACAAGGTTCCTCTGTTCACAAACTGTAGTGACCTCTTTCCAGACTAACAAAGTTCCAATGAACAGGAACCAAAGTGTCCGAAGTAACAAAGTTAAAAAATGTCTGGGCTAACAAGGTTCCACCGTCTACGGAAATGAAAATGTCAAAACACGCAATAATCTGTTGAACACAGAAACCAAGGTGTCTGGACTTACAAGGTTCCAATATACACAGACACACTGTGTTTGGATTGTTGATTAAGGCTCCATTCTAACAGAAACTAAATTGTCTGAACTAACAAGATTCCATCTCATTATAAAAATTGAAAGTAACATAACTAGGGAGTTCCTCTAAACCGTTGTTTATGGCATGGAATGAAACATATGTATTTTTGTATTGACAACATTGAAGGTTCTGATTTTTCTCAATGGAAAAAAATCTTGATCAGAATATATAATGCTCATTTTATTTGCCCCCTCATGTACCTTCAACACCTAGTTCAAGACCTACTTTTCCTTTTTAATATTAATCTCTTAATAGGGGTACATTCGCGTTACCGATTGAAACGGTTGAACCTGTAAAGAAAACGACAGGTACAGATCTGGACCGAGGCTGACCTCAGGAAAATTTGGCACGTTTAGATTGAGGGGTCCAGACGTGCCTGACCGAAACTAAAATGCTGACTATTGCCAATTTCCGTTATTTCTTTCTAAAACAATGTCAAGTCACATGAAGTTTTTAAGATACGTTATGTAATTCAGTGGACGGATGAAAGAAGGTCATAATATTCTTGAAACACTGTTTTTTATTCTCCGAAACTGTGGATTTTTAGCTCTGCTTATAGAACGGTCCAAGTGTGTTCGTTTATCGTGGAAAAATTCTGTGCCACATGTACCGTTTCAACCGGGATACGCGAATGTAGCCTAGGTCTCCTTCGATGTTCTCCAAAGTTTAAACCCCTTAAAACACCAATATCGTTGGACAAATGGTGGCAATATAACATAAATGGTAGCTACACAATGTAACATACATATATATTTAATTCTTTGATTTTGATAACAGGAATTTTATATTGAATTATTATACTGCATGACCTCAAAAGGTTAGCTGTTCAAGCTTGTCTTGTGTTTCATTTTCAGCGATAATATAAAGTAACATGAATGAGATTCTAGGTCATATATATAACTTTTTTCGGAAAAAAGTTCATTCATTTTTTTCCTTAATGATATTCCATGTAATGCATGTGTCTTCAATTTCTATATAATGTATGTAATTATTATCAGCCTGAGTTATCGTAGAATAAGTATGCTGAGTTTTATCATTTAATTGTAGTGTCTTAGACAGCTTTTGGCTACCAGTATCATTTAATATGTCTGTGTATACGATTATACACGCAGGTCTCATGTCTGCCAGGATTTTATTTTAAATAGAACTTGATTAAAAATGTTTAAAGCAGAGCTCAAGGTGCGCATAAAATATGGATAAAAGCTACTTAGAACACGAAAATGCACTAACTGCTAAAATGTCCGCCCAAGGGAAAATAACGACAGTTTAGGCATCTGCATGCAATTTTTATCCAGTGAAGTCTCTTACTTTTGAGGTTTTTATACAGATTTTTTTTTAATATATTGTCCTTCGTTTTATTAGTCCCGGAAATGACTGCCAATGTTAGCATTAGTGCCTTTGTTTCCCTTGATATATTGTCAAACCTCTTTAAATGCCAATATATTCGTGTACTAATAATGGCAGTATAACGAGGTTTCATTGTGCTGTATTCTACCTTATAAATGTCTCCTTACCAGCTGGTTTGAGAGTGTGTTCTAACCCTTTATCATGATTCACTGACTTACTTGTAAAAAAAAGGTATCTGTTATGACTATTTATGAGAAATTTGAAAGGTAAGCAATCATTCTAGTTTTCCAAAACTGCTAACCAGTAATTTGGCAAGGGCACTTATTTCTTCAAATACAGTACAGTGTTCAGATAAAATTGGTTAGGTATATGCAGATCACACAATATGTCAAATTTCAGTCTTGTTAAAAGTATGTTATTTATTCCTAGATATGTACATGTATTTAGTAAAACAGGGATGTTAAAATTTCCTACATGAAATTTTCACATGGACATTTTTTTCTTCGATTTCCATAAATCTGGTGACATCCACTTTGAATGAATGACTAGAATATATATATAGACTGCATGGCTACTAGCCCCTAAGTTTCAATGAAGAATGTCTCGGCTGCATTTTACTATTAGTTTATCTCCCCCTAGTTATGACTTACTTAGGCCTTTTATGGTCTGGACAGAAGACATCCAAGTGATCAGTTTTTTTTTCTTTTCTTAATACCGGTAATTCAATATTCTGGAGATGGGGCCAGTTATAGAACTTAATGCGTGTTGAATATTTCACCGAAGGGTTTCTGGGTTTATAGAATGTTTTTAACATTCTTGTAAAATAAAATATCTGACATAGTAAAGACTAATTCAATTAAGGTTCGAGAATGTTTGTATAAACAAGGTAGGAATCTCTACT